TTTTCAGATAAGGTTTTGGTGTGGGTCCACCCAACTCTCAGGGGAAATAATGTTCCAGAGGGCAGGAACAGTGACCCAGAAGGCATACTTCCTGGATCCTGTCAGTTTTATTAACTGGAGCCTGCCAACTCTGTCTCATTGAACAGGACAGATAGATGCTGTAGGAGACAGATGGTCCCTCAATAACAAGACCCTATGCCATGAAGGGCTTTTAAACCAAATATTAGACTCTTTCCTTGTAAAATAAATGTGTGCACCCTTGGGCTTAACAGGATTCAGCTGAAACCTTGTCTGGGTTCAAACACTAAATTAAACCACTGTAGGGTTAGCTTGAGCATGGTTGGCTAACTAAACCGCTATGGGCTGAGTTTACAAGTAACACTGCCGTAAACGTAATTTATAAACCACAAGGCCTAGTTCACATATGTCAAAACCAGAACCAAATGAAGCACAAAGCAAGTTTGCTGTTGTACAAAGCAAGTCATTTTCAATCCCCTTGAGAAGACCATGTACTTGAAAGCCATAGAAATATATTAAAGTGTTTAAAACATTAATAAACCCAAACCACCCAACTACACAACGTGCTACACCCAACAAACCAAATATTATGGTTTAGTGCAGCTATTACCACATTGATTGTTAAAAGGACTGAGAACCTTCTCCAAAGACTCATAAAGGTTAAAAAAAAATCACAAGATTATAACATTTAAAAAAACAGGCCACCATGGAACACCCAGAGTAGTAGCAGGAGAAATCAAAAAGCAGAAGAGCTTGTGGAGGCATGAGCAACGATACACTCATTTAAAACTAATGGAACAGTTTTGTCTTTGTAACTCAAGCATCCCCCCCCCCAAAAAAGGTTATATAAGTTACAGCATAATTAGTTTATAGCTGCTTCCCGTATTTATTTGGGGGGGAGCAGGAAATGAAAATTCTGGCATCCAAAAGATTTACATCCATGAACTACATCTTCTCAGATGACATTTATATTATAGGTATAGGCTACGGAATAAAGCCTGTTAACAAACAATGCAGGAAACATCCTCTGCTTTTGAACTGAAGGAACACAACCTATAAAGTGATACATATCAAATGGCTTAGAATAGGAAACGCCTACTCATCTTTCTAGGTTTAAATCCTTAATTAAACAGTGGTCAGACAGAACCTCATCTAAAGACAAGACGTCTTGAAACAAATCAGCTATCTGGGCAGGGAGAAATGCAAAGCTTTGTTTTTCACTAACTGCTATTTCTACACAACTGCTGTTTCAGACATTGTGGAAGATCATATTAATCAGAACGGAGGGAGAGTTATTTTTTAAATGTTGATCTCCAAGCCAAATGAGACTTTCCTAGCTTCAATGTAAGTGACTCCTTCAAGTGCTTTGAGACCACGCTCCTGGGTCCCCATAGATCAAGGGCATACATGTCGTCAGTAGGTTGTCACTCACAGTTATGGATGGCATTCCAGTCAACATTAGAAAAGAACGGATGACAGCAGAGACCTTCATAATCCAATCTTTCTTTCTGCCCACACAGTAAACTCTGCAGCAGATCGAGAAATTCGTTGCTGACCTTTACATCCTCTGGGAATTTCAGGAACCTCTGCATTTGAAACAAAAATAAATCACACTCAGTGGTAAAGAAACTAAAAATCTAAAGAGTACGATCCAAAGAGTTCCGTTTAACAAGCCAAAACATTCTTATATCCCCAAACAGCATCCTCTTCAGATGTGTTGCAATCTGTTTTTAAAACTTCTCATAGTTTCAAAAGCAAAAGGAGACTGTTTAGATATAAAAATAAAGAAATTATGGTTGGTCGCACAGTCAGCCAGATGTTTAGACTGGATTTGGCATTTTTATCTACCTTCTCAGGACCTGGGAGAGGGAGATGTTGTCTGATGGTGTTAAAGGTAGCATCGCAGGATATAAGCTGTTCCAAGTAACGCTGCCTTTTATGATCGACTAATGATGATGATGGAGATACCCAAAGTTAGTTCCAGAATTCTTTAGGCCTCAGTCATAGTGTTTTAGTATTGGAAAAGTTAGGAAAAGGAGGCTACCCAAATTCCACAATTCCATAAAAAGCATAAGGCCTTTGAGAGCCAAAACCATCCGTCTCACTCTTAAAGCTTCCAAATCCAAAGCAAATAAAAATGGGCTAACAACTTTCCTCCATAACACTTCTGGTAGCATCACCAGGTCATTTGAGGGTTTCCTGCCACCAACTAGAAAGTTGATATAGCAATTTAAAACACCCTCTTTTAAATCAGAGATGAGCAGGTTTTAGTTGTGAAAATTAGTTCAACTTTCTAGTTGGTGGCACCTGCTCATCTCTGATTCAAAAGAGGGTGTTTTAAATTGCTGTATCAATTTCATCAAGTTCCAGATTTTATGGCTGCTAATAATACATCCATCAGCAACACTTTAGGCATTACTGGGACAGAAAATCTAGGAAAGCTTTGAAAATCTGGCTTTGGTCCCAGGCCTGAGGTTGATATTTTATTATTTTTCTAGGGCCTGTTTTGTTTTGTTTGATTTTGCTTTTGATAAGATTATTTCAGTCTGGACTGCCCGTCTGATTTGATGTTTTTCTTTGTTTTTATGCTTTTTTTTTCTAGTTTTGTACATCGCCCAGCGTCCATTGGAGTTGGGCGGTGAATCAATTCAATTCAATATAAAATACCTCTTACATTAACACCTAGGAATGTGCCCAAACCCAAGGAGCTCCAACTCCACTTGAACTGAGCTCTACTTGTACCTGAAAATTCATGATGTTGTTGAAAGTTTTAGTTGAGGTCCCTTCAGTAAATGGTGATCTTCCGTAGATCATTTCATAAGCAACTACCCCTAGAGACCACCAGTCACATTCTGATCCATAGGAAGCTTTGTTGTTGTTGTTGTTCAAAGCTGCAAGCACTTCTGGGGCCATATAGTCAGGAGTGCCAACGGGCACCTTGGCATCCACCTAGAATGCAAGTATCATAGATTATTCCACGTTACATATTAGAGCTGGAATGGATAGCTTATGTTATCTGGAGGTCATATACTTTTGTACATACTGACAATAATGTTCCATTAAACACATTACTTACCAGAGGAACTAAGGAGAAATTGATGCACAGATCAATCTAAATACCTTTACAATACAGCAAGGCTATATAAATGTACTGTTCTAGAACCACTGGTGGTGGATTCTTTTTTTCATCCTTAGCCATGATCAAGGGACCAAAAGCAGATATCCCCACCAAAAACATTTCAAATTTTCCAACCCCAAA